AGATTACCCTGCAGATAGCTGTGGAGAGATGCCCCAGCGGGTCTCATCTAATCAGCTGCTCTGCTGGCAGAGGCAATGAAAAAATGTTGGTGGATCTCAGCAGGATACAAAATGCATGTGAATAATGTTGCTGTAGGGCTACTCCTGGCAATGTCCTCTGACTTCCCACTCGGATCAGCAGCAAGTGCTGCTGCAGAGTGGCCAGCCCAGAAGGAGTTAAACTGGACGATCAGCTCCATAGCTGTTTGGACCGATGTGGAGAGGAGGGTGGTGGGGTCACGGGGAGAGCCCTACTCTGCAGCCCCGGGGTGCTCCTCCTCTGCCTGCCCGCGTGGCCTCGGGTACATCACTTACAATGAAATATAGACATGAATTGGGAACTTGACAGCCACTCTCCACCAGCTGCCCAGATCTCTAAAGTTTTCAGCGAGCGTTGATGTCTTAATCACGTGGGCCATCTTAATTGCAGGAGCCCAAGCATCAAGATCCTGCACGTTCCACCAGCTTTTGAAGTGCTGCGATGGACCCGCTAAGGCTCCTGTTAATGTCGTCCTCTTTGTGTGCTTCATCTCCACTTTAGGCACGACCAAATGAAGACAAGATATTGGAGGGGACAAAGGTGTTTTGTCCCACAGAGCTTTGCTGACTACACGAACACAAATGACAGTGCTGGGGAGCCCTTTGGCCGAGGAGCAGCTGGCTCACTTTCCCTTAGGCTGCTTGGGGGGATTGGCTTGTCCTCACCTGCGAGATGTTTGTTTGCAGCATGACAGCATTCACCAGCTGGGGCATAAATCATTCAACAAAACCCTCCACCACCTCAGGGGCTTCTCATAACATCCGCTTGCAGCTGCCTTTTTATCTCCCGAGTCCTTCTCATTCCAGATCATTTCAGGCATTGCCCTCTTCTCTGCCCCCAGCCACCTGCCAAGAGGCAGCAGGTCCCTCGGTTGTGGGACCATGCCCAGGCTTCCTGCAAATGCATGTCAGGGAGAGGTTGCCAAAGGAGCGTAGGCACACACCTGTGCTGGAGATAAGCAGGAGCAAGCACCCAGGGCTTGCCGAGCTGGTCTGCAACACTCAGCCACTTTACCATTTACCTCTGTGGCCATGCAAGTGCTTGCGTAGATACAGAGATCTGATGTTACTTCCCATAGTCTATAATCCCTCTGGACCGAGGTGAGCGCCTGTCTCCTATAGCAGCTCTCCTGTCTTATAGAGCACCTTGCTCACAGGAGCCACCTCTGAAAGGCCGCCAGCACCAGGGCTAGCCCTGCTCTGCGCAGAGGGGTGAAATTTTGCCTATTGATTTGCCATTTGCTTGTGCTAGGACTCTGCTCTCTAGCATCAGGAATAGTCTGAGTAAGTCTAGAAACCCATAGCAGCTCCAGGAAGCATGAGAAGTTATTTTTGCCTGTACATTTATCCTCCTAATTTTTTCTCCACTTTATTGCTGGAGTCTGGTTTCTTTCTGTGCTCGGAGAAAGGCAGCCCAGCGCTGAGGAGAGCCACTTTTACTGGGCTTGAAGTACTGCTGCTCCACCAAAGGTTTTTGCTGTGGGACTTTGAGTGGGTAAAAGGGTAATTTCTCATCCGTAGGAGAGAGATCAACTACTGCTGAAGCAGCCTAAAGACTACCTGGACAGAGACAGGTAGGCAAGCCCCTAAATCTACATTCAAAGCTTTGGGGAAGACTCTGGTCTCAGGCTTCTGCTCTTCTGTTTGTGGTTGCATAGCTATTGCATGCATGCCCTACCTGTCTTTTGCTCTGACCACTTTCTTTTCCTCGCTTCATAAAGTTTACAAAGTCACCTTTGTATTCCCCTATGCTGGCTGGCATTGCCCCAGTGAGCTAGCCAAACACGGCAGAAACAAACTCAGCTTTCCAAAGGGTAAAACTTGAAGCAGCACAAGCAGGACCTCACACCTCCTTTGGGAGGGAGATGCATGGCAACAAAGGGCTGGGATTTCAAATGCTCACATTTTACCACAAGTGCCGCGAGCCATTTAGCCTGCCTGGTTAGCACGTCTCCACTGCTGTTCTCTGTATGGTCCAACAGCAATTCCTGACAGAAGCACAAAAGCACTGTGGAGCCCCACCGGGGTAAAGCGTGAAATGAACTCCTGTTCTCAACAGAGAAGTACACTGAAAACAAATAACCGGCATATCCAGGGTACAAGCAAATAAACAGCAATAACAATGTAACTTTATTTAGATTTAATTTGACATTTAGCACAGTAATAAGCACAGAAAGAAAGAAGTACCAAAATACCAAACTCATAGCATATAAAATAATCAAATATATTTCATGTTTAGTGAAATATTTCTACAATACATCAGTGGGACTGCCCTGAGCAGCCCAACCCTGTAAATATATATATATATATAGCTGTGTTATATAAAATACTGTATGTAGAGAAAGCACTGAAACTTATCACCAAAATAGAAAATAGCTCAAAATACAGATAGTTCAGATTTGCTAGTCATACCCAATATTGAAAAGAGGTTCAAACCCACTGCAGGAGATAAAGCTCCAGCTTAGATGCCACAGCAGGCATGGGATGGCATTACTGGGCACAGGCTGGCTAAAGTTGGAGGAGCCTGGCTTGTGGGACAGGCTCCAGACCTGAGCCGATGGCCACGAGGTGACAAGAGTTACTGGTCCTCGCTCAGGACTGTCGAGACATTTCCTGAGTGGAAATGCCAGCGACGATGTCGGTGCTTGCGGCTGATGCTACGCACCACGGGATGCCTGGGCCAGCGGTGCATTAATGTCTGCGGGGAGGCTTAAGTGCATGAGCAGCCGCTTGGATCCCGTAGGAGACCCCGCAGCCCAGCTGAGCTGCGCTGCAGCCTGTGCCTGCCTGCGGCCAAAGGGCTTTTGCTAAGAAAGAGCTGCCGGAGCAGTGCTCCCGCTCCTGCGGCACACAGCTGGCCCCTGCAGATCCGGCCACAGCAGGACTGGCCATCGGCAGATGCACAACATCACAAGGATATTATTCTGAACTTTAAAGATGCCTCTTCAGCAGATGACAGTTATTAATTCCCATTAGCTTTTAAAAATCTAGAAAGCTGCTTTTGTACGAGGCCAGGCTCCCCCAAGCAATACCGTACGTTTGTTCTGGTCTGCAAGAGAGTAGTATGTGAAGTAGCAACCCTGCTGCTACAGGACAGTAACACCAAATGAAACGCTTGTCCTGGCGAAAACTCCCACCTGCCCTGAGGGGATCAAGGTTAGCGTTGTACTTAAGATCCCAGGCAATTTGTAAATAGATATAAAAAATATGGCATTTCTGGGCAGCAACACTAAAGTCCAGCTGGAGCTGATAACCCGCACCAGCGCGTAGCCCGGCTGCTGCTGGTGCTTAGGCAGGGTGCTGGGCGGGCAGGCGGAGGCACCAGTCCTGGCCGCAGGGGAGAACCGAGGGCACGTTGGGGCCATTTGGTTCCTGATATACCAATAAGGCTCTGTATCTGCTGCTTTCTGGACAAGATACTTTTGTGCTTGTTTGTTGCTTTTTGGCTCAATACGATGATCAATTTTCCTGACTGTTCCCGCAGCCGAGGCAGCCTGAGACCTGCCTGCAGGATCTCTCCTCGGGGGGCTTCGAGTCCCAGCGAGGCAGTGCCACGATGGGCTGCCCCTGTGCCGGTGCCAACCCCACAGCGAGCTGGGGAGATCACCCCGGGAGCACGCCCAAACCCCGTTTCTGTGCTTCTGCCACGCCATATAACCCATTAAGCCTATAACCCATTAATAATTCTGTAATTGCTCTTTCTCATCAAGCCAGCAGTTGCATCTCTAATTACATGGCAACAATACTATGCTAACAGGATGAGCTATAATTCCTAGGTGGTATTAGCATTGTTATTGTACTCTGAGTAACTTCCTGGTAATGGCCATTTGAATGTGGCAATATCAATTAGGTGAATATAAATGCTTAGCCCCTGGAAAAATCATTAATAAAAATTTCATTCTGATAGCCTCTAATCACAGCTAAATACAATTACTCATACGAGGCCACTATAAAAATTATTTTTCTCATCAGAAGAAATTCATAAGGTTTTCCCAACTGTTTGTAATAAAGAGGACACTATATAGAAAAGTCCAGAAAATAAGCACACGTTTGTTTCTCAAAATCCATAGATAAACATGACAATATCTCTAAATTACTGGCTACTGAACAGGATTTCATTTAGCTCTACTCAAGCTGTAGCCTAGTATAAATATTTTCAAAGCAGCGTGCTGCTGTTTCATCTGGAACAGCTGCACAGGATTTCTTTGATGTCAAGCTCTTGTGTGGGGACGGTGTTTCAATTTCTTTTTATGCCTCTGAACTGCTGAAACAGGAAGGAAAAGACATTCAATCAAATAGGCGTTTTTCATGAAAAAAAAAAAAAAAAGCAGCAAAATTTGGCCTTGAATGCAGTACCAAGAAATAATTCATCACTGCAGCGGTGACAGAACTACACTATGCCTCTCGCATCCTTATTTCAAAGGCGACAGGGAAAACACCCGGAGGTTTTGTGCTGCAGCGCGGTCTCCCTGTGGTGCTGTACCAGGCGCTCCCCGGGCTCACGCACGGGCAGCTCCCATGGCCGGCGGCTGCCCTGGGCATGCGGCGGGTGCACATGCGCTTTCATCCTCACTCCCTGCACTAGGGTGTACATCCCTCCTGTACTCCCCAAGGAGCATAAATACAATTAGCTGAGGAAGCTCCGTTCCTTCCCCGCTCCCGCCCAGGCTCCTGGAGCTCGGCGGTGCCCAGCACAGCAGGCTTGACCTGCACAGGGGCTGCAGGACATCCAAAATGACTGTGGCTGGCCATGACAGGCAGCTAAAGAAGGTGCTGCCCTACGCCATTTGCCAAAGACGCTTTCTTATGCAGCGAGCAAACATTTTTTAGATGGCTGTGTCCGCAGCGCTCATCACTGAGCAACCACAAGCGCTGCCTGCGAAGCTGGAGAGGCACATAAGTGCAAATCCCCCCTCACGCACCCAGCGCCTGCCGGTTTCATAAGTCAGAGGCAGGAGCCGTCGACATGTCTCTTTTTCACAGTGCTCGGCGAGCAGGAGCCCCACGCAGCGCCTGGAAGGAGGGGGATTGCCCAGCCTGCCGCCTGCCTGACTGCAGAGCCAGCCGTCACAAGCTACGCATGTTTAGGAGGTGCCAGAGCGGACAGCACAGATTTCTCTTTCTGTAGGGAGATAAGGCTGAAAAAGTCCGGGACATCAGGAGCAGCTGGAGGGAGGGCAGCCACGGCAAGGCGGGGAGAAGTGGCAACACCGTTATCTCCAGGCAGGATCTCTGTCTCCTGCACTTTGCAAAGCATTGATGTAGGTTTATTTGCCTTGCTTCATAAATATTTTCCAGAAAAATGTTTGTTTGGGAGCGCTCTCAAAGCAGCGCTCAAGGAGCAACCTCCAAAAAGTACATTTCCTAAGGCGTTTCCCTGTGCGTGTCTTTTCAGACACCCCCTTTGCCGTACAATGCTTACTGGAAAAAAAGCAGCAAAAGCTGAAAAAGGCTGCTGAAAAAGCTGGGGATTCTGTTTCAAAACTCAATGAACTGATGAAAACAACTTCTGCCAGCGCCGGTGAGCTCTCGCTCACCTGCAGTGAGGGTCTGGGGGCTCCTGCGTGGCCGTGCGGGGGGCACTGCCATCAGGCTCAGCGGTGCAGAGGCAGCTCACCTCCCCGGGCAACTTACCGCTCTCCCGCCGCAGCACTGCCGCTGCCCACAAACGGGATTTCTTCCCTGTCCGTCTTCCCCAGAACGAGATGGTGCTTCTCCATGTTTATGACACACTGTAGAGAATAAATGCCTTTAGGTAAGAGGGAAAACTGGAATTCACAGTGGTCCCAGCTCCCCCAGCACGGGTAAAAGCCCTGCTGGAAACCCCCTACCTTCAGAGATTTCAGTGTCTGCAGCCCAAAGGAGAAAGGTTTCTCATTGTCTTCTGAAAAATAGGAACATTCAGATTTATACATTCAAAATGTTCTCCCATGCTTTTTGTCAGTGACTCCATCCTTCCTTCATGGCTACTCTGCTAAATAAAACCCCGTTTATAAAGGACTGAGTTACTCCGGAGGGTAACGTGATCAAACGAGGGCAGGCGGATGCGCCTGCAGGGAGACACAGCGGTCGCTCCGTCGGCACGGCAGAGCGCGAGCCTGGTGCCGCCAGCACA